CAGCTGTTGGAGGGCAAGCCGCTGGCCGACAAGATGCGTCCTGACACGCTGCAGGACTACATCGGGCAGAGCCGGGCCGTGGGTCAGGAGACCCTGCTCCGCTCGCTCCTGGAGACCAACGAAATCCCCTCGCTCATTCTGTGGGGGCCCCCGGGCTGCGGCAAGGTGAGTGCCGCCTTGGCCGAAGGGCCCCCGCGTGGTGACCTCGGCGGCCGCGACTGAATGGAGCTCATGGTCAGAGCCAGGGGCGCTTCTTGCAGGCGGCGGGATCCTCCTGGCTCGCGCTCATAGTGAGGCCTAAGGGCGCAGACAGCGTCTGAACTGGGGCGGTGCTTGGTCCACAGGTGGAATCTGATGGGCGTGAGAAAAGCGCACGCCCCGGGTTCTTAAGGCACATTTGCAGGTCGTTTGCAAAAGGAAGTTGTCTGAATTCGTAGATTTACAAGAGGATGTGGACGCAGGTTTGGTCTACCTTTGTATTCTATCGGCCGCCTCCACCCCCACCCTGGACTTTTAGTGGTCCAATTCTCAAAAAAAAAAAAAAAAAAAAAGGCATGCTACAAAAATTGTAAAGGAACATTTGTGTATTCCGTTTGTACATCTATGGCTTTGGCTTCGAGAAAAAAATCAAATTCTTTTTATTTCTGTTGTGCTTGCTTCCTTTCCCAATAGTTGTTGGTTTAACTGACTGATAAATATATTCTTGAGATTATGTTTGACATTCTTAAATTGAGAATATATTCATTAAATGTATTTATTCATTTGTTTTCATTAAATGTATATAATATTAATATAAAAACTTTTTCATTTGCAAGTCATTTTCGTCTAGTATTTCCATAACTTTTCTCATAATGACTTGTACTCTAGAGAACAAATTCTAGTACTTTTTGGTGTTGAGTTCCATGTCCTTTCATGAGGGATTAGCACAAGTCCACAGGAGGGCAGTTAGGATATTGTGGGTCTAGAAAACTTGTCACTGGATGAACTCTTGAGAAAAAGTGGAGGAATTAAGCCTGAGAAAACAGAAAGCTAAGAAATGCTTAAATACAGGATGCAGTCTTATCCATAGTAAGCGAGAGAAGAGCAGTACCTGGGAGTTAAAGGAAGAATTCGGGATCAGAGTGTAAAGAGCTTTTGTAGCTTTAAGATTCAGATTCTTTCATACACAAAGACTTTTATGATTTTTCTCCTATTTTTCTTTCCAGCTTCATCTCCAGCAACTTAACCACACCTCTCTTTCCTCCAGCTCCTGGAAAGCATCTTGCTTTTTTTGTGCCTTCTTGCTTGCACTCATACTTTTTTAGCCAGGAATAAACCAGACCTTCCCAAATAACATTTTCTTATTGGTGGTGGAGTTGTTGACATCTATCTCTGTGGATTTCATTGTTACCCCATTTGGGGGATTGAGCAGTATCACGCCTAGAAATTGTCTGTGAAGTCTTTACAAAAGATCATGAGAATAGTTGGTGGCCCCAGACAGCAAGAAAAAAGGGAGATGAGTGCCCATCAGGTGCTGGGCAAGAGGTTTAGGAGTCCAGGCTGCTCAGTGAGATGGTTGGTGATCAGTTGCTATCCTAAGTACATGTTACATGGGAGCCTGATTCCAAAAGGTGAGTGGGCTGGGACTTGGTAAAGAAGCAGTTTCTTTATCTAATGGTGCTATCCAGCTTTTAGAAAGTAAAGTGCCACTTCTCCATTCTGGTGCAAAGTTGTCTCTCTCGTTAAAGTCTTCACTTTTTCTTTATTCTCATCCTTACTGTAGTGCCAACAACAGTATTAGTTAACAGCAGATGCATATTTATCAAGTGCCCATTAAATGCCAGGTACTGAACAGTGCTTTCCTTGGGTCTCCTTAGTTTTCTGGTAAGTGCAAACATAACCAAAGTGGTGCTGTTCATTTTCTACCAGAGTGGACATACGGTCATCTCAATGCTAGGTCGTCGTTGACTTCAACTCAAAGGCCCCTTCACTCCTTTTATCAGCTGCTCTGCTGAGCTTCCAGTTGGAGCTGTGGTTCTGTGAACAGGTCTTTCAGCAGCAATGCTATCTTGGCTGGAGGAGGGAGAATTTTCTTTTCTCTTTGGTGAGAGATCACAACCGTCACCCTAGCTCTGCTAAATCAAGACAGCCGCTTTTTACTGAGATTCCAAAGATTAGAGTCCTCAAGAAAGGAATCAGGTGGTTAGGGAAAGAGGAGAAAAGTTCAGGATTATCCTAAAATTCACCTACTTTTCTGTTTTACTTGTAACGTTGAATTTTTTTTAATGTGCTGTGATATTTTAGATTGTATCTATGGTGTTAAGCATTCTTCAGAGTTCAAGCTGATTGGTAAATGGTGCTGATGCTGCTTGGAGTAGTATCCAAGGGTGCTGCTCTCTCTGTGTCTGATCAGCTTTTCAAACTGTATGTGTATCATCTTTTCTAGACCACTCTGGCTCACATAATAGCCAACAACAGCAAGAAACATAGCATAAGGTTTGTGACATTGTCTGCAACAAATGCCAAGACAAATGATGTGCGAGATGTCATAAAACAAGCTCAAAATGAAAAGAGCTTTTTTAAAAGGAAAACCATCCTTTTTATTGATGAGATTCATCGGTTCAATAAATCTCAGCAGGTATATTAATTTCCTTCAATCTTTTGGTCATTGTGGATGTCAAATAGAATATAAAATATATGAGATCACTTTGAAAAGGATAATGTGCTGTACAAATGTTAGGGACTGTTATTATTAGTAATATTATTTACAAGGAATTGTCAGTAATTGACATTATTGACAACCCATCTCTTTCAAGCCTATTTTCCCACACTTTTTCTTAGTGCTTTTTGGTGACAAGAAAATGCTTTTTCTATCTGATAAATGAAATGGTTGGTATATCCCTGGGTTATGTATATCAGAAAAGCAGCTTTGGATCAAGTTCCCTATTTTTAGAAATTTTTAATCTAAATATTAGAAGTCATTGTAAACAGTAAAATAATGATTTTAAGGTTATTATCTTAATAGTTTGTTTCTCCCTTATAAATTATTACTTTTTATTTTCAAAATTAAATATATTTTCTGTAATTTCAGGTTCTTGTCATTGTAACTATTACAAGATCTAATTTTACTATTTATTTGAATGGTTTTCTGAAATAAAAGTAAAAGGACACAATTTACTTTTATAAACAAGGCCACTTTGAGATTTTTTTCTAAATAGACATTTGAATTTTCTTAGGCATTTTTTTTCTTTGATAGAAATAATTCACAAAACTCTTAAGTTTTTTTTCTTCGTTTTAACCTTTTTAAATAGATAGACCCTTTAGAGTTCTGACTGGATGATAGCATTCTAGCTTTCATTTGGACCATTGACTCATCTTACTATTTCTTACCCATAAGACAGCATCTCCGGTGGTTACATATTCACCAAGTTTGTTAGGCAGAGTAACAGTATGATTGAATACTTGCAGTGGAAGAGGATTCTGGAAATTAGGTTTAGTTAATGTTTTTGTATATTCTTACTCTTCTATACATAGCTGCTATTGGCTATATGCCAGTTTAGCCTTGGGAAGAAGATACTTTTATAAATAAAGTCATATTTTATGTTGAAACTAAACTGGAATTCTACTTAGAGCTATTAGCCTACCAACAAGAGATTAGGCTTAGAGCTGACATTCCAGAAGATGTGTTTTAAACTTTAAAAACAAGAGCTGTATTCTCCTAAGTGTTGTATAGTCAGTAAATATAAAGTTGCTACTCCTGAACTGTAAAGATAAATATGAGGAAAAGGAAGGAATGGGTAGCCAACTTACGTAGGATTCTGTACATTACTGTTGACTGGAATCACTTTCTTCTGTTTTCCTCCCATGATTAGGACACTTTCCTTCCTCACGTGGAATGTGGGACGATCACTCTGATCGGGGCAACCACCGAAAACCCTTCCTTCCAGGTCAACGCTGCTCTTCTGAGCCGCTGTCGAGTGATTGTTCTTGAGAAGCTTCCAGTAGAGGCAATGGTGACTATTTTAATGCGTGCGATCAACTCTCTGGGAATCCACGTCCTAGACTCTAGCCGTCCCACTGACCCTCTGAGCCACAGCAGCAACAGCAGCTCAGAGTAAGTTGACTGTGCAGCAACCTGGGGGCACAGACCTCCCAGAGAATCTACTGGCAGGGGGCCAGAAAAGGTTGGACATCAGTAAGGGGAGGGTGGGGACAGAGAAGAAATGTTGATCCGCTAGCAGTGAAAATAAAAGAGGAGGGAAGTGTTCAATTTTACCAACAGACTTTTAAGGTGTTATCTAGCCTTTAATGGGTGTGTCTATAATTCTTCAAATGTAATGTTGTTTTGTTATTTTCATTCTTGGGCATTTACTTTTTTGCTTGGAGTTTTTTTCCTGGCGTGTTTTTATAAAAGTTTGGAAGACTATGAGAAGCCTTTTGATTATTATAGAGGCTTTATGTCCCTCATTGAAAAGAGCAAATACATAGATACATATGTCCTAGACTTAACTTATAAATCTTTTGAGATTTTGAAATTTGAAAGTACTCACATTTCAGTTTTTGTCTTGTAGTTTGCTAATCTCTTTAAAATATTAAGTAAAAATTAAAATATTAAGTAAAAATCAGCCGGGCATGGTAGCGCATGCCTGTAATTCCGGCTACTCGGAAGGCTGAGGCGGAAGGATCACTGGAGCCCAGCAGGCGAGACTGTGGTGGCCAGAAGCGGCCACTGCACTCCAGTCTGGGTGACTGAGTGAGACTCCAACTCAAAAAAAAAAAAAAAATTAATGCAACTTGTAACCATAAAATTACAAACCTTTTTGCATACTTGAAAAGTCAGTCTCAGTTCTATGAAAGTAAAGGAATTTTAACTGAAAATGACAAAGGCTGTCGCTATCCTTTTGGTAATCTGTTTCTGCATCTTGAGTGCCACATGAATTCATTTATGCCCAGGGTATATATCATGGATAATCATTTTATTTCTTGGATCAGAGGCTTTTCTTTTATTTATTAGAACACATTTCTTCAGATGTCACTTGTCTGTGTATTGGCTGAAATCCCACAATGAAACATAATCTGGTCTCAGGAGAGACTATTGCGGCCTCTTCTCCTGTAGTCTTAGCAGCTGCTCACGCCTACCCTGAGACCAACTTCTGGAGCCACTTTTCTGCAAGGATTAAAGTACAAGGCATAGTTTTAGGATCAGGGATTAGATTTCAGCGGTCTCTCCCTATGTGTCTGGCTTCTCCCACTTGCTCCTGCCTCACATGTAGGAAGAATTCTGCTATGCCTCATGAAAGCCTTGAGACCCTATGGCCCATGCATAAACCACTGAGTAGAACAAGAGTTACTTCATTTTGGAATATAAATGTGTTGGGATAGCCACTAGAACAGTGACTAGAAGTGAAGTATGGAACCTACTGGTATCATCCAGATGTACTCATACTCAGCCCTTTGTGGGTGTTGTCAAGGTCTAGGGGGACTACTTCCAGGGCCTTGTATCTAGTACAAGTTGAGCATCCCAAATCCAAAATACTCCAAAATCTGAAACTTTTTGAGCACCTATGTGGTGCTTAGAGGAAGTACTCTTTGGGGCATTTTAGATTTCAGGATTCAGGTTGCTCAACTGGTAAGTATATAATGCAAGTATTCCACAACTGAAAAAATCCCAAAATCTAAAAACCAGAACACTTCTGGTCCCAAGCATCTCAGATAAGGTATACGTGACTTGTATAGCTTACCTGTTACAAAACTCTGAACACACACTCATAAATCCCCGTGTTAAAAACACATATGTGCTTTGTAAATAGTAAATGAATAAATCCTAACTTTCAGTATGAGAGAAGTAGTTGAATTTGTGTGTGTGTGTGTGTGTGTAGTCCAGCATAAGGGATAGATGCCCAGGTAGCATGAGCCTTTTTCTTTAATACTATTGTCTTTTTCATCATCAAGCAGAGTGAAATTAATGAATATTAAGCTTGGATTCATTAATGAGTCTTCTTGTTAGTAATTCTGACAAGAAGTTGGCAGATACCGCAGGCCACAGGAAGAACTCTATAAGTGATTTCCTGATAGAAGTACCTGTCACTCCAATCGTCATGGATAATTAAGAGTGGATTGTGCTATCTTTTAGTAATTTTAGGTAAAATTTTACTTTCAAATTTCTACTGACAGCTATATATATATCCTTGTGCATATAAATCAGATTTAATTACACTAATGTAGCTGGAAGGAAAGACTTTTAAATCCAAATAGTTACTTTCTCTCTCTGGGAATCTCTGAGTGTGCATTTGTATTCTTGTGTCATGTTCTCGGGCCCTAGATAGCAACTAGAATGTTCACAGAGAAATTTTAGACTGTTGAAGGCTGTGCACAAAGGAGGTAAGCAGAGGTACTGGATTTGGAACTAATCAAGCTGCTGCTTAGACTGTTCTACAGAAAGTTCATTATCTATGCCAAGTTCCTTTGACTTGTATGACTAATGAACAGATTTCAAGTATTTTGCTCTCTCAAGGCGTTTTGGTCACATGATACAAACAGTGAAGCATGCTGTTTGTGCGATGGAGGCCAGGGAAAAAAATCTGGTCCATGATGTGATGAATGAGCTTGTGCTGCTGAAAATGAAAAAGTAAGCTAGCAGTGAATCATCTGCACTACTTGCTTGGAAGAATTGTGGATTCCTAGATTATAGGATGCATAATACTCAAAAATACCCCTAGAGAATCAGGTTTGTGGAGCAGATAGAGCACATAAGTCTATGGAGAAGAAAAGGGTAATATGAGAAGCTGTGATTGCCCTCTGACTATCTAGCAAGGTCAAGTTCAAGAGTTGGCTGAAGGAAAGTGACATCTGTCCCAGGGCAAGGTTTGGTGGCATAACCCTGGAGTCTGGAGCTTTCCTCTGATCATCTGAAAAGGGTAACCCCCAAACAAGCTGGCCCCCAAACAACATAGCTATGGATTTTTCTTTCTTTGGTAAAAACTTAAACTGTTTAAAATAATTTTTTTCTTCGTGACCCGCCTGGGCAGCGAGACCTCATCTCTACAATAAATCAAAAAATCAGCCAGGCTTGGTAGCGCGCGCCTGTAATTCTGGCTACTCGGAAGGCTGAGGCGGAAGGATCGCCGGACCCAGCAGGTCAAGGCTGCGGTGGCCAGGAGCGGCCATTGCACTCCAGTCTGGGCGACAGAGTGAGACTCCAACTCAAAAAAATAAATAAATAGAATAATTTTTTTCTACCACTGAACAGAAAGAAAGGTAGTAGAACACCAGAATACAGGGTACTGACCTGAAGGAATTGTGGATATCAAGTAGATTTCAATAGTTTTTCTTTAAAAAAATGTAAAAAATATATATTTTTTAATGTTACTATAGCACATTAATATAGCTGTTTTAATATAAAGGGAAGGGGTGCATTAAAGTAATGTATAAAAGTATCAGCAACCAGAAACATAGATCTCAAAGACCTTGGATAAGTGTCTTGTGGCTGCTGTAACAAAGTACCACAAACTGGGTGGCTTAAAACAACAAGACTTTATTCTCACAGTTCTGGAAACCAGAAGACCAAAGTCAACTTTTCAGTGGGCCATGCAGCCTTTAGAGGTTCTAGGGAAGAGTCCTTCCATTCAGCATCTGGCAACTCCTGGCATTCCTTGGCATGCGGCCACATCACTCCCAACTCTGTTTCCAAATTCACATGACCATCTTCTCTGTGTCCCTGTGTCTTCTTTGTTTCTGTCTTTAATAAGGAAATTTGTCTTTGGATTTAAGATGCGTCCTAAATCCAGGGTGATCTCTGGACGAGACCCTTAACTTCTGCAAAGACCTTATTTCTGAATAAAGTCACATTCACAGGTTCCAGGGATTAGGGCGTATATCTTTTAGGGTCACTATTTAACCCAATATAGACCCCTACCAGGTATATGGTATAGTGTAATTTAGAAAGCCCTGTACCTCCATAGGATTAAACAGAGAAGGATGATGTTATCTGTGAAATTTATTCTCTCTTTGTGGAAAAAGTGGGTTTGGTTTTGTTTTACATTTCATAATAACATTCTGCTTATCATGGAAGCAGCAGAGTGAATTTAGGCCTCTACCTTAAAGATTTGCAATTCTGGAGAGTATGTTATTGAACAGTGATTTAAAATTATTCTCATTACTGATAATAACAGCTGACATTTATTGAGTGCCTATAATATGGCGGCACTACTCTAAGCATTCCACGTCTTATTTAGTCCTCTGCAAATTGGTCTCATTACCTCCTTTTTACTAAATGAGGAAACTGAGGCACAAAGAGGTTAAGTAATGTGCCCAAGACCACCCAGCTCAAACGGGATTGAGCCAGTTTTTAAGGCATATTTCTAACTATAAAGCGAACTTGGTTGCTAGGATCTAGGTACCAAGTTAAGAGAGGGCAGATGCCACTGGTGAGTGTTGCCATTCTGACCTTTCCTTGTGTACTTTTTTGTGTGTAAGGGCAACTCTATCCATTTGTAATGGATTAGGGACAAAAGATTCCCATCTGTAACGAAGCTAGAAAGCCTTTTAACCAGATCTGCACATCACACTTACCTGGGATACACCTTGGAAAAGTACTGTGCTCAGAATCTGTCCCTGAGATTTGAGCATCAATCAGTCTGTGGTAAGGTATACACACCTACATTTAAGGAAAGTTCTCTAATCTGATGAATATTCTTAAGAACCACTGTACAACAGTTATTACCCTGTCTATAAAATGTTCCTTTTCCCTAGTGAAAGATTCTTGGAGTCTGGTTTATAATTTAGAGAGGGAGAGTTCAACCAAGCCATATACTCTTATTTGGCTATGAAATCAACTTACTTCACTCCTCCAACTTAAACATCCAACCATCTAAGTAGTATCCTCCAAATCCCAGTATCACCCACTGTGCAGATTTCAGGATTCAGGCCTCTGGAGGAGAAAAGGGAAGGAGGGAGCTTCCTTAATCACTGTTAAGATCAAAGCTCTTCTGTTGGAGAAGTTGGGCACTCTGTGTTTTCTTTCTAGGTCTTGTTAACTAGGAATATGGTCTTTTTCAATGCATTTGTTTTCACCAATTTTCCCTCTTATGGAACAGTTTTTTTAATGCGTTGTACTAACGTAATTTACTATTTATTTCTTATTTCCTTGTGGGTTGCTATGACATTTTGGGTACTGTATCCCCAGAGTAAATTTTACCTCATTTAGTAATACTCTACCTTTGAAAGTTTATTTTAAAATGCAAAACACTTTATAAGGTTTTGCTTAAATTTAAAAATAATGTTAATTCTCTAGACTGTGAGCACTCTTTTGAGATATTTTGTGCAGTGGTTACAGTTTGCTGAGGGGGATTGCAAATATCAATACAAATACCCCTTCATCATTTTTGGCACGAGTTCTCTTGGTGCTTCTCAAAGTATTTTAGTGCATCTTATTTTGTTATGCTTTAGAACTTAGATGAGGTTCAAGATATGTTGGGTGATAAATAGAGAACTTTTGCCCTGCACAATCCTTAACAGTACAAATTTCATTTTGTAATTTTCTTGTGTGACCATTGTGAGTGTCATTGTCAGCCTCCTTTCATTACTTGAACAGAGTTGCTGACAGATTCCTCTAGGCTTAGAATTACTTTCTTCTTTTGGATGAGGGTAAAGTTTGGAATGTTAATCATACCCAACGGGAGGAAGAAGAAGGGAGCAGTGGGAGCTTTGGGTGGCTTTTGTTGTGGCAGCATCCCCATTCCCTGTGACTCCAAACCAGAACAGTATAACCCCTTGTACTTTAGTCAGGAGTTTAAAAATCAAAGGAAGGGCTCATTTTTCCAACCACATAAAATACCCATTTTAAAAGACTTGTTCACAGCTTGCTATTTATAAATCTGTGGAACAATCTGCTAGTTGACATCTCTCCTAATTAACAAGGCCTGCTGCCTGACTATATGAGGACTAATGGAAATGAAGCAGTGTAGAACTAAATACCAGGGTATATAAGGCTACCCATCTTGTGACTGTCCCAAAAGTACTTCATGCCTCTAAATGTGTACAAAGGAGAAATTCGTAGGAAAGGGATATATACCAAAATACTAATGCTAATGTAGTCCAACAGGAGATGACTTTTCTCCCTTTGTCTTTTTAATTTTTAATGTACCTATTTTCTTGAAGTAGATATTCAGAGCTCTGAGTAGTGGTTTTTCAAACTATTTAATTATTAAGGATGTGAAACTATACACAATGTGATCTCAATTTTGTTTTAAAAAATTAGATGTAAGATTGATAGTTGCATAGTTGAGTGGATTATAAATAAAATTTAACAAATGACAGTAGCTGTTATCTCTAGGTGGTGGAGATAATGGATATTTTTGGTTTTCTTTATACGTTTCATATAATTTCAGAAAAATAAATATTTCATTCTGAGATTATGAGAAAACTGAAGTTAATCCATTCATCATGTGAATATTGGATGCCTGTTATGTATCAGGCACTGGAAATATAAAGAAAGAATAAAACATGATACCTATTCTTGAGGTGCCCCTCCATTCAGGAGGGATGGAGAGATGCTGAATGTAATCAACAAATAACCCAACTCATGGTTCAGAATACAAGATGGTTCAGATAGAATTAATTAGAGCTCCTGCTTTTACTCCTTTTTCTTCCCTCAGTTTGTCCTGCAGGCTTTCTGTTGCTAGGAAGCGTTGCAAGGAAATAGAAGGCATTGTGCTTTTATTAGTTCTGAGGCAGAAATGAGATACCCAGTCAGTTCTGGTTCCTCTTCCCCCCACAGGTATTGTGCTGTAACCGAGCCAGCAATGTGCCCTTCCCTCAAATGTCGTGTGCACCCCTCTAATGCTGATCCCTCCCAAATATGTTTTCTTTGGTATGTGTTCTATCATATTCTGTGAAGCTGTCTTCCAGAAAATCTGCTAAACAATTCTGGTTGAGACATGGTCTGCAGACTTGATAGAGTGCCAGTGAGATGGCGTTGGTGGGTGTGTCTGAGTGTCATGGTGAGGTCTCTGCTGAGAGGATACTGCCATCAAGAGGGAGGAATATGGGTCCCAAGGCTGTACCCATGACTCTGGGACCCAGGCATGAGACTGAGGAGACAGTAATTGATTATAAAGCCAAGGCTAGCCAGGTTTCTTGTGTGTGATGAGATACCCACAATGAACAACTGGAAATCTTGGCTTTGGTAAATGAAAGAATGAGAGGAGGCTGTCTCTAGGATGTGAGAAACAAATCTTTCAGTAGTGAAATGCAAATTGGTGTCATTCAAGTTATGCATGAAGTGAAGCAGCATGGATGGGTGTGCTGTAAGGAATTCTAGTTGACCCCAGCTGACAAGCTGGGTCCCCCTTCAGAAGACTCCCGGCCCTCAGCCTCGTTGGTGCCTGTGTGTTGTTTTTCAAGTACCTGATTTGGACAGTCCTAATGGATTTGTAATTGACTTATTATATATTCAGCTAAAGATGGATAATGACATGGGTAAACTATAAGGTTGAAAATTTATTTTTGGCTTAGCAGATATGCTGCTAGCAGTCCCACTGCTTGTGTTCTACAAGGCACTACCCCAGAGGGTCATGGGAAAGTATCTAACTACCTTTTAAGATGAATGTCAAGCCTGTAATTTCCTACCCCAAAACTCCTCTCAATTCTTGTCAGGAAAGTTTCTGCTTTATGCTTCTCTGTAGAACCGTCAGCCCTGTGTAGGAGATTTAATTCTATCAACAAGACAGAGATTCACCTGAGAATCACAGGCATGCTTTGGACCCAGCTCAAGTCAGACATCTGTTAAATATCTTGTCTTCCTAGACTAGGAACAGAACGTTTTGCTGAATCAGATTTCAAAACTAGTTAGCTCTTTGTGAAAGAGAAATTACTATAAATTTTAGTACTGATATTTGGAGAGAGGTTAGGTACCTACCCAAGGTTTCATGGCTAAGTTCTAGCTGTCTTCTGATGGATTCCTAGGCTAGTGACCTCTCTGCTACCTTGTGCAGACCATCTGTGGTTCATACCCACTATGAAACAACCTACTCCAGTTCCCATTAATGCCCCAGGCCAGTATTCCAGACTAGGTCATGTTTTGCCTGGGGTAACTAGGGTCCTGGTTTGTTGTTTCTAAAATGAGGGAATTGAACTCCCTGATCTGGAGCCTTTCAGAGCTAATGCTCTTACGTGGTACTGTCTCTTCCCAGCGTAGAAAGCACACCTATCTCATGAGGATGTGGACCGCCTTTAAAGCGTGTTTTCCATGCACTATAATGAGGTGCTAGCATTTCAAATAAAGTTTTCACTGTTCTGTAGAGTAGAACCAAAGAGACCATGTGTCATCAGTGACTTTCCAGGACATTCATTGCCTGCTTTACACAGGCTTACATATATGAACTTATACAGTGAGATGCCCTTGTGACTCATGAGATACAGTGCATTGCCAGACTTAAAAAACCTAGTCAGTTCTTAGTCTTGATTATGCTTAACCACATTAGCAACGTGAGTTCAGAATAGGGGTAAAAGACTTGAACTCTTTCCTGTGATATTGCTGAGCAGTATGAGTTCAGTAAGACATGCTGCAGAATGAGAGCTGTGTGACCTGAGTGTGATAGTGACTAACTAACACTGGTTGTGTTTCAGGCCCTCTGTGTTTATAGAGGATAAAGCAGTAGACACTCTGGCTTATCTCAGTGACGGGGATGCCCGAACTGGATTGAACGGACTGCAGCTGGCAGTGCTGGCCAGGTTGAGCTCTAGGAAGATGTTCTGTAAGAAGAGCGGGCAGACGTATTCTCCCAGTAGAGTTCTGATCACTGAGAACGATGTGAAGGAAGGCCTTCAGCGCTCCCACATTTTATATGACCGAGCAGGTAAGTAATTGAAATGTGGAAAGAGCGAAACTGCATGGAAATAAGTGTGTGCACACATTCTCATTTCCAGATGTCTGACTTGAGCTGGGTCCAAAGCATGCCTGTGATTCTCAGGTGATTCCAAAGCATGCCTGTGATTCTCTGTCTTGTTGATAGAATTAAACCTCCTACACAGGGCTAACCATTCTACAGAGAAGCATAAAGCAGAAGCTTTCCTGACAAAAATTGAGAGGAGTTTTGGGATAGGAAATTACAGGCTTGACATTCATTTTACAAGGTAGTTAGATACTTTCCTGTGACCCTCTGGGGTAGTGCCTTGTAGAACACAAGCCCTTTTGGAAAGCCCGTGTATTCAGTTGACAGTTAATAAGTCTTGTGATCATTTACAGTGGCAGTAAGTAATGAGAACTTTTGTAATAAATGACTTATTGAGAGTTAAAATCCTTAGTTTCTAGAGTTTAAACTAAAAATTAAGCTTTCACAAATTTGATGCTTTTATTTTGTTACAGCTTTTTAAAAAAATTTAATTTTGCAGTGTGCACTTATCTGTGTAAAACTACATTTACCGATATCAGATTTGATATCAGCTCTTATTAAATCCATGACCTGACAATATTAAATGTCATTAGCACAGTACATTTGCATTTTTTATAAAAGAAATAAGAGATGAAGATAGCAGACTGTAGATTTGGCTAGACTTCTGGTGCTTGAGTGTTTGTGTGGTTCTAAATGGAGACATAGTGTAGTAACTGTGGAATAGGATTTACACACTTTTAAAAGCTCTGCCAGAAAAGGAAGTGAATAGATGGAACGTTACAGACCTCACATGGGCTGTGCCATGTGATGATGGAGAGTCCTTACTGGTTAGAGAATGGGTAGGAGGGACTTCAGAGTGACTCTGGTGCCAGACTCTGCCTCTTCATGAGTGAGCATGTTTGCTGCATGTCCTTGGGACAGTGACTGAAGTTGTTTGGCCTTAGTGTACCTCAGCTGATGGTAGCCAGGATGTTAACTAGTTCTAAGGACACATAGACACGTGGAATGAACAGTCCTGTCTACGTCCTGATGTGGATATGTCTCTTAGCAGGGTCCTTCTCAGATAGCCAGCTCTCCCTTGTGCTCATGAGTGTCATGAATGCTTGAAAAGTCTAAAAAGCAAAACATTCTAGATGTAGAGCCCTACTTTACTTTTGAGCAAATACAAAAGTTGGAGATATGAACAAAATAGAAATGTTAAGAGATAAAAGATTCCCCCATGCTGTATTCTCCATTGTTTCTGGGGTTCTAGCAGCAGTGGTCTTTCTCCCTCCTTATAGATGTCCCAAAGGAGATGCTTTGTTTTGACTGGACCTACTGGACCATTCTTTGACATTTTATCAGACTGCCAGTTGAAATCTATGTAACAAGACATTCACTAACACTCAACCATTGAGTATTTTATAGATGTTTTCTTTTTTTAATTCTCAAAATAGCCTTAGGAGGTACCTATTAATATTACCCCTACTTATAGATGACAAAACTTGACTAGGTTTACAAAGCAGCTGGTAAAAACTGATCCTTAAATCCAAGTCAGATTGGCTCCCAAGCTTGTGTCTTTCCCACGTCTTGCCTCCACATCGGCTCCACCACAGTTACTGGTCTTACTGTTTGAGCATGTTCCTGAGGGGTTGCCCCTCACACACACACTTGCAGAATAGATCTTATAGTGGTTCAGTCCTAGGACTTCCTCTTCTTGTGCCCCACATTACATCAAGGGGAACTATGTCCAGTGGGATCACTTTGTTTCTAACTTTGAGCTGAGGAGCAGTGGAGATCAGCAGGTGCCACAGCCTTGAGAACCCCACATTCTGTACGTCTGCCTGATATTAGTGTGCTCACATACCCCCATCATAGTGTAACACACCTGCCCCACAGTATTATCCACAGATTCTTATAAATATCATCCCCATCCTGGAGAAAGTTTCTCTTGCAAGCTTTATTCCATAAGTAGGAATGGTAGGAGCATTGCCCTGGAAACCTATTAGCTTGTACTCTTGGGCCTTTTTATAACTCTAGTGAGACAAAGACTCACCCCCAGAGCTTTTGTTTTTTAATGTCAACTTGTACATAGTTACCCACTAGTGGGATTCAGTAACTAGTTCATATATTTTTGCATTAGAGTAAAGATATTTCCAGATGTGAACAAATTTTCTGCCATGCATTGACATCAGGTTTCTATATCAATAATGTCAAATTGCAGTTTATAAAGCAGTATATAATAAAAGCAAAAGTGGAAGGTGGCATAGGATAATATCAGCTGTCACTGATAGGATATAATGTTTCTGTAGTCCTTGCACTCTGCTAGGCATGTATTTATTTAGTACAACCATGTGACATGGGTGGTCTCGTTATCCCCATTTTACAGATGAGAAACCTAAGGCACAGTGAGAATCAGGAACTTACTCATGGCCACATGGCTAGTAAGTTTGGGTCAAGACCAGGCTGCCTGGCCCTAGAGCCCATGTTCTTGCCCATACTGGTGGTATTGCCTTCCCACGTTGACTCCAGTGAAGGTGGGAGGAGGTGAGTAACCCATGTCAGAGGAGTTTAAATTTGACAGAAAGTGACCTAGAGGTAGTTCCTTCCATCCCTCCATTCTGGTGAATTTAGCCGAGCGTGGGCTTCTCAGCCCTCCTTCCAAGCCCTGCCACTTTGCAAAGGAGCAAAGCACAGTCAGGGTACCCAGGCCAGCAGGATGAAGGGGTGGAGTGGGCAGGTCATGTGGATTTCATTCAGGACAGGTTCTCAGCCAATGTCCTTAGCTTTGACTTCAGTTGGGAGGGCCTGGGACAGGAGACACTCAGTTTGTCCTCAGAAGTTCTGTAGCTGGGCTGACCCCATTCATCTGCCCCAGTCCTTGGAAACCAGAGTCCCTGGTTTGTTACTGGGACCCAAGTACTCTGCCTAACAGCACAGTCTTATTGTTGATATTGGCTTATGACAAGCACAGACCAGGTGCTTCTCTGGGAGGACTGATGTTCATAGCAATAACATCCTCTGCTTTCTGAGGAGAGGGAGTCCTCTCCTTGAACTTCAGTAAGAGAGGATGGTCAGAGAATAGTGAAATGTGTGTAGATACCACTGTTTATTTCCTGGGAATTTTTTAGCTGTAGTTTTTTTGCCCTTAAGTATGTCTTTTCTAAAGCATATCTCACGGATTTGTTTCTATGTGAATCTAGGGTGAAAATTGGGGTAAGAACAGGTGGTGAGAGTGGGCTACAGCACCTTTGGGGTGAGAGCCGGTGGTTCATGTGTCAGACCCTCTGGGATCCGCCATGTAGATGTGTCCATACCGAGGCTGTCAGAGGGAGGTTTAAATGACCACAAGCTTCAGATATCAGAAAGGCAGCTGGAAATTACACTGAAGAACAAATGGTCTGTAACAGCTGCCCTTGCCACTTGACTCTCCATCCTAATGGCTAGACTGAGCCCACAGTTGATTTTCCTCAAATAGACAGTGGGGACACAGGATGGAACCAGAATATGAGACCCACTCCACCCCCACTCTTGTCCCTGGCAAATATGAAGTGAATGTCTCCTTCCCATCCCCCATGTTTGTGTTTGCACCTGATGTGGACAGCTGCAAGTTTTTCCGGCAGCATCCTCTTCCTCTGAATGGAACTGAGTTACTAAACCAACACCCCAGCCCCACAGAGATCTGCTCTGGTCATGTCCCAGGATTCTGCACAAATGGCATTTGCATTCTCCTGCTGAGTACAGTTGAGGCCAGCTGCCACACCCCACTATCCTCAGCTTTCTAGGGCCTTCATCAGTGCAGGCTTCCTGGAAGTCAGCTGGTGGAGACACTGATATGGCTTGGGCATCCCTCCTGTGAACTTTGTGTGAGTGGTGCTCTTTCTGGTGTCAGGAGAAGAGCATTACAACTGCATCTCTGCCCTGCACAAGTCTATGAGAGGCTCTGACCAGAATGCCTCCCTCTACTGGCTGGCTCGCATGCTCGAGGGAGGAGAGGACCCGCTCTACGTGGCAAGGAGGCTCGTGAGGTTTGCCAGCGAGGACATAGGTGAGTGTGGTGGGAGGGTCTGAGAGCCCTGTGTCTAGGTTGGGGGGTGTGGTTAATGGAGCAATTGTGGGGTTTTTTTGTTGTTGTTTTGACTTGTTTGGCTTAAGGATGTCTTGTGACCGTGTGAGATGTGTAGAAAGCTTTATGCCTGAGCTTAGTCATTTATTTCTTGGTTTCTTGTGCTTTTGAGTTTTTGTGTTAATGAAGTCACCTCAGCAGGAATGTTTTTAGTAACATGAATGGCTACTATTCAGAGTATTGAAATAAAAGAGGTGCATTTAACTTTGCTTTAAAGTCAAGTGTTCAAGGTTTTCTTTGGACAGCTCCCAAGGTAGAGATGGAAGATTCTAGATGCTATTTAAAGAAAAAGATCAGGGCTGTGTGCAGTGCCCATACCTGTAATCCCACCACTTTGGGAGGTGGAGGCTAGAGGATTGCCTGAGCCCAGGGGTTCAAGACCAGCTTGGACAACTTGGTGAGACCTCATCTTTACAATAAATTAAAAAATTAGACAGATGTAGTGGCATATGCAGCTACTTGGAAAGCTGAGAAGGAAGGATCACCTGAACCCAGCAGGTCAAGGCTGTGATAGCTATGAGTGTACCACTGCACTCCAGCTTGGGAGACAGAATGAGACTTCGACTCAAAAGAAAGAAAAAAAGGAAAGAAAAAAAAATCAGGAAAGCTTTACTTTTCTTTGGTCTTATTGAATGTTTTGTTTTAACTATGTCCATCCTTGTCAATGTCTTCATGGCCTTTGCTCCTTATATTTTTGTTCTGTCTCTCATTTTTTCCAAGTAGATGTAGTTTTTATCCACAAGGAAACAATTCTTGATACCACACAGTAACCACTTATTAAATATTTCTTGAATAAGTTCATGTAATTACAGACCAGAGATGAGTCAATCTATTTGCTATTTGGGATTGTTCGGTTGCCAAGTCTATAAGCAGTGGTGGTCTCTGGAAGGACAGTGTGTGTCGTGACTGAAACTTTCCTTTGTCTCTCTCGGGTGTGGCAGGTCTGGCAGACCCATCTGCATTAACACAAGCGGTTGCTGCCTACCAAGGCTGTCATTTTATAGGCATGCCTGAATGTGAGGTAAAGTAATCAGCTCAGTTTTTTGCAATAATTTCCTTTCTTTTTTGTGCTTTGCCCCTTTGTGGATTTGAATATATGCCCCTCCTTTGCCACTGATGTATTGGACCCACTGAATAAGCCGCTTGGCTTTTAAATTCCCACTGTAGAATCATAGGCTCTTAGGCTCTTCAGTGTCAATAAAATTGTGTTTTCACACACTCCTAAGGAGTTCTGGGATTCAGAGGAAGTGTCCCATGTTTTCTGGGTGGGGGCAGAAAGGTTGAAAAAGCTGAACAAGAAGCCTCTGCAAGTTCACCCCCAGACAGAACACCCTCATACTCATGTTTTATGCATTGTGGGCTTAGGGAAAAAATTCATTCAGTTTAAAAAAATGAAAACCACTGGTCTGTTTTGCTTCTTGCCTCAGGAATTTCTTCTCTCTATGACAGGTGGTTGTTCAGACTGTAGGCAAAAAAAGGGGGTGAGGAGAATAATAAAAGAATGATGGGCATCTTTTCAGAATTAACTAGAGGTGTAAATTGTAAAATATTCTGCAAAACAGCCACTCTGCAGTACCTTCATGGGTACCTTGTGGATAAAACCTGTGTGTCCTGCTGTGTCTTTCATAGGTACTCCTGGCCCAGTGTGTGGTCTATTTTGCCAGAGCCCCAAAGTCCATTGAGGTATACAGCGCCTACAACAATGTCAAAGCCTGCCTGCGGAACCACCAGGGGCCACTGCCCCCTGTGCCCTTGCACCTGAGGAATGCACCGACCAGGCTGATGAAGGATTTAGGTTATGGCAAAGGCTACAAGTATAACCCCATGTACAGCGAGCCTGTAGATCAGGAGTATCTGCCTGAAGAGTTGAGAGGAGTTGATTTCTTCAAGCAGAGGCGGTGTTGACTTTCAGGCTAGGACAGCAGAAGGATGTTTGTTTTTTAGGGAGAACAGAGAAAGAGTAACTGGATTGTGAAGTTGGTTGCCTGTTGGAAATTAAAACAGACAAACATTTTGTGCCAGAAATTTAAGAGTTCCTGTAGGTGGAGGCGCAGTTACTTCAACTAAATGTGTACCATTGAAATTGTGTTCATTTGCACTCTGTGCAATGGTTATGCTTATGAAAATATCTGGCAGCTTTGTGCAATGAATTAATGTTATAAGGAATTATCTATTTTGTCATAGTATTTAAGTCATAATGTCATTTCAGAATTCAGTTCTGTAGGTTTTTTTTTTCTTTAAAAAATGTATATTCTGGGTAGTTTCAATTGGTAAAAAAATGTAATTGTGATTTAATACTGCATAGTGTTTTGGGTATTTTTTTTATATGCAAAGGTCTTATGAACCAATAAAACTATTTCAAAGTACTCTGCAGTTCTTTCATGTTTCTCCTGCCTGGTGTAGGTTCTAGCATCATCACTGCTGCACTTGGAAAATGGATATACTATGAAAGGGAATTCATCATAGGTGAGGGGAACTTTGCATAGAATTCACTGTATCTTTTTGAAATTAATTTTAATCTTTTTAAAGGAATACATGCACGCAGTTTTAAATGGCTGGTAAGAAGACTCCAGTTGTCCCCTGGTCCATTTCTCCTCACTTCTCCAAGTTTCTTCTTACAGTTCCACATTTCTAAATAGTAATTTCTGTTTTACTTTCTGTGCTTCCTGTAGTTAAGCATGCCACTCTCCCCACTCAGCTTGGTGTTCTTTGTAGCTACTGCTAATTTTTTTTTTCCAGTATCTTTAGGGGGTACAAATAGTTTTCAGTTACATGGATTTATTGTATAGCAGTGAAGAAGTCTGGGCTTTAAGTGTACCCACCATTCCTACTGTGCACACTGTGCCCAATAGGGAATTTTTTTGTCCCTGCCTCCCTTTACCATCTTCCCCCTCTGAGTCTCCAATGTCCATTAGACCATCTGTATGCCTTTATAGATTCTTAGTTTCACTCTCACTTATAAGTGAGAACATGCAGTGTTTGGTTTTCTGTTCCTGAGTTAGTTCACTTAGGATGATGTTCTCCCATTCTATCATAGGTGCTGCAGAAGACTTTTCATTCCTTTTTATGGCTGAATAGTATTCCATGATATATATACACATTTTTAAATCCAGTGATCACCTGGTGGGCATTTAGGTTGATTCCTGGTTTTTGCAATTGTGAATTGTGCTGTGATAAACTTGTGAATGCAGGTGTCATTTTTTTATAACCTCTGTTCCTTTGAGTAGATACCACATAGTGGAATTTCTGGATCAAATGGTAGATCTATTTTTAGTTCTTCGAGAAATCTCCATGCTGATTTCCATAGAGGTTGTACTGATTTGCATTCCCACCAACAATGTATAAGTAAGTGTTCCCTTCTCACCACATCCATGCCAACATCTGTTGTTTGTTGATTTATTAATAATGGCCATTCTGACTGGTGTAAAGTAGTATCTTATGGATTTAATTTGTCTTTCCCTGATTATGAGTGATGTTGAACATTTTTTCATATGTTTGTTGACCATCTGTATATTTTCTTTTGAGAGATGTCTGTTCATATCATTTGCCCACTTTTTAATGGGGTCATTTCCTCTTTTCTTGCAGAGTTCTTTGTAGATTCTGGATATCAGTCCTTTGTCAGATGTATAGTTTGCAAATATTTTCTCCCATTCTCTAGGTTTCCTGTTTGTTGATTATTTCTTTTGCTGTGCAGAAGCTTTTTAGTTTAATTAAGTCCTACTTATTTATTATTTTGTTGTTGCATTTGCTTTTGGGGTTTTAGCTATAAATTCTTTGCCTAGGCCAATGTCCAGAAGAATTTTTCTTACATTTTCTTCTAGGAATTTTATGGTTTCAGGTCTGGCATTTAAGTCTTTAATCCATCTTGAGTTAATTTTTGTATCTGGTGAGAGGTAGAGGGATCAAATTTCATTTTTCTGCAGGTAGCTATCCAACTTGCCCAGTACTGTTTGTTGATAGGGTGTCCTTTCCCTGGTGTATATTTTTGTGCTTTGCTGAAGATCAATTGATTGTAGGTATTTGGGTTTATTTCTATATTCTCTATTCTGTTCCATTGGTCATGTGTCCATTCTACTAGTACCATGCTCTTTTGGTTACTGCAACCTTGTATAATTTGAAGTCAGATAATGTGATACCTCCAGCTTTGTTCTTTTTGCTTAGGATCACTTTGGCTATTCTGGCTTTTTTGATTCCATATGAATTTTAGGTTTTTTTTTTTTCTAATTCTGTGAAAAATGACATTGATAGGGATTGCATTGAATCTGTAGATTACTTTGAGTAATATCATTTTAACAATGTTGATTCTTCCAATTCATAAGTATGGGATGTTTTTCCATTTGTTTCCTCTATAGTCACTTTCATCAGTGTTGTATAGTTCTCCTACACAGAGATCTTTCACCTTCTTGGTTAAATATATTCCTAGTTATTTTAGCTTTTTGGATGCTATTATAAATGGAATTGAGATTGATTCTCAGCTTGGTCACTATTGGTATATAACAGTACTACTTATTTGTGTGTTTATTTTATATCCTGAGGCTTTGCTAAATTTATTTGTTAAATCCAGGAGTCTTTTGGAGGAGTCTTTAGGATTCTCTGGATATAAGATATTGTCGCCATACCCAGATAGTTTGATTTCTTCTTTTCCAGTTTGGATGCCTTTTATTTCTTTATCTTGCCTAATTGCTCTGGCTAGGACTTCCTACTATCTTAAATAGAGATGGTGAAAGTGGGCATCCTTACATACCTAGATAGTTTGATTTCTTCTTTTCCAATTTGGATACCCTTTATTTCTTTATCTTGCCTGATTGCTCTGGCTAGGACTTCCAGTACTATCTTGACTAGGAATGGTGAAAGTGGGCATCCTTGCCTTGTTCAGTTCTGAAAGGGGATGCATTCAACTTTTCTCTGTTCAGGGTAACATTGGCTGTGGGTTTATCATAAGTGGCTTTATTATTTTGAAGAATTTTTTTATGCTTTGCTAAAGATTTTCGTTATGACAGGGTGCTGGATTTTATCAAATGCTTTTTCTGCATCTATTGAAATATTATATACTTTTTGTTTTTAATTCCATTTATGTGGTGGATTACATTTATTGACTTGTATATATTGAACCATCCTTGCATCCCTGGGATAAAACCCACTTGATCGTGGTAGACTTTTTCCTTTTTTTAATGTGCTGTTGAGTTCAGCTTGCTAATATTTTGTTGAGGGTTTTTGCATCTGTGTTCATCAAGGATAGTGGTTTGTAATTTTCTTTTGTGTGTGTGTTTTTTCCTGATTTTGGCATTAGAGTGATACTGGCTCCATAGAATGAGTTAGGGAGAACTCCCTCTTCAGTCTTGTGGAATAACTTCAGTAAAATTGGTATCAGTTTTTTTTTGAAAGTCTGGTAGAATTCAGCTGTGAATCCATCAGGCCCTTGACTACTTTTGTCGGACGTCTTTTAATTACTGTTTAAATATCACTGTTATCATTAGTTTGCTCAGGATTTCTATTCCTGATTCAAGGTTGGGGAGGGATGTGTTTCCAAAAATTTATCCATTTCCTCTAGATTGCTTATCTTGTTTGCATAGAATTGTTCATAGTAATCTCGAGTGATCTTTAGTATTTCCATGGTATTTTCATTTCTGATTGAGGTAATTTGAATCTTCTCTTTATTTCTTCATTAATCTAGCTAGTGGTCTGTCAATGTTGTTTATCTTTTCAAAGAGCCAACTTTTTGTTTCATTGTTCCTTTGTATTTTTTTTTTTTGGTTTCAATTTTCATTTAATTGTGCTCTGATCTTCATTATTTATTTTCTTCTGCTAGTATGGGGTTTGGTTTTTCATGTTTTTCTAGTTCCTTGAGGTATGACATTAAGTTGTCAAAAAGTGATCTTTTCAGTCTTTTTTTTTTGCGTTGGAGTCTCACTCTGTCACCCAGACTGGAGTGCAGTGGCCCCTCCCAGCCACCGCAGCCGTGACCTGCTGGGCTCCTGCGATCCTTCCGCCTCAGCCTTCCAAGTAGCCGGGAACTACAGGCGCATGCTACCATGCCCAGCTAATTTTTTGATTTATTGTAGAGATGAGGTCTTGCCAAGTTGCCCAGGTGGGTCTCGAACCCACGGGCTCAGGCAGTCCACTCACCTCAGCCTCCCAAAGTGCTGGCATTACAGGCTGAGCCACCGAGCCCAGCTTCAGTCTTCTTAATGTAAGCCTTAAGCACTATAAATTTTCCTCTGAGCATAGCTTTGGCTCTGTCCCAGAAGTCTTGATAACTTGTGTCATTGCCATTCATATCCGAGAATTTTTAAATTTCCATGTTGATTGCATTGTTGACCCAAAGGTCATTGAAGAGCAAATTGCTTAATTTCTATGCATTTGATTGGTTTTAAGAGTTATTGGAGTTAATTTCTTATTTTATTCCACTGATTTGAGAATGTGCCTGATATGATTTTCTTTGTTTTTTTTTGAGTTGGAGTCTCACTCTGTCACCCAGACTGGAGTGCAGTGGCCGCTCCTAGCCACTGCAGCCTTGACCCACTGGGCTCTGGCAATCCTTCCACCTCAGCCTTACAAGTAGCCGGAATTACAGGCATGCACTACCATGCCCGGCTGATTTTTTGATTTATTGTAGAGATGAGGTCTCGCCAAGTTGCCCAGGCGGGTCTCGAACCCGCGAGCTCAGGCAGTCCACTCATCTCAGCTCCCAAAGCGCAGGATTACAGGCTGAGCCACCGAGCCTGGCTGATTTCCTTTTTTTAAATTTATTGAGACTTGATTGGTAGCCTGTCATATGGTCTATCTTCCCTAGATGAGTCTTTCTTTTCCAGAAGTCCAGCTTGTTGTTTTTATTTGTTTTTAAGTAACTACCTCTTTGGAGAATTCCATGTGCTAATGAGAAAAATGTGTATTCTTTCACTTTTGAGTAAAGTGTTCTGCACATGTCTGTTAGTTTCGTTTACTCTAGGGTCCATTTTAATTCCAATATTTCTTTGTTGATTTTCTGCCTTGATAATCCGTCTATTGTCAGTGGAGTGTTGGCTGGCTCTTTCTCTTTTCTTAGGTCTAGTAGAATTTGTTTTATAAAGCTGGGAGCTCTGTTGTTTGATACATATATATTTTAAATTGTTAGATCTTCTTGTTGGATTATAATAGCCATCTTTGCCTTTTTTTTAAATTTTGTTAATTTAAAGTCTGTTTTATCTGATCTGAGAATGGCTACTCCTGCTTGTTTTGGCTTTCCATTTGCGTGGAATGTATTATTTGATCCCTTTACCTTGAGTCTATAAGAAGTCTATAAGAATCTCTGTTAAGTGGGTCTCTTGATAGCAGCAGATATTTGGATTGTGATTTTTGTTGTCGTTTTTATTAATTCTGCCAAACT